AAGAAGAAGAAGAAGAAGAAGAAGAAGAAGAAGAAGAAGAAGAAGAAAGAAAGAAAGAAAGAAAGAAAGAAAGAAAGAAAGAAAGAAAGAAGAAGAAAAAGAAGAAGAGAAAGAAGAAGAAGGAAGAAGAAGAAGGAAGAAGAAGAGGAGGAGGAGGAGGAAGAAGAAGAAGAAGAAGAAGAAAGACATGTCTCCTAGGTTAAGAGCTATTTGTTGACCCCTGTTTAATTTGGGGCCTTCAAAGACCATCTGCTAATTCATGTACATCTCTGAAGGATGATAAAGAAGAAAAACACACACTATTCATCCTGAAAACCCATTCAAAAGAATTCATTTACCACAGGACACTTAGATTTACTCTCCAGAGATCCTGGGAGCAACTCATTTGGAAAATTAATCTTCATAGGCTTACTCTGTGCTACAGAGAAAGCGAACAGTAATCAGCAGAGGGGAAGTAAATGGTTTTGAGCTGAGCCTGGGGAGGGGGAGAAGGGAGAGAGGAGTAGGGTAATGCAGTTTAGGCTAATCAGAAACTAGCTGCGGAGAAATGCGTAATGGATCTCAACAGCCCTCGAGGCTGAATGGAGTTCTATTTATTCCGGAGTTTCAGCTCAAACAAAGATAAAGGCCGTTAGTTAAAGGTCCAAAGTGAGCTTATGAAGGTGTCTCATTTTGTAGGGCTTTTAGGAAACTACTTTTCCCCAGAGAGCACTCCAAAGCCTCAAGAAAAAGCATATAGGCTTTAGTGTTATTAGCGCAAATCCCTCAAAGATCATAGAATATGGAGCTGCAAGAGGCCTGAGAGGTCATTTACTAATAACAACTAACATTTACATAATGCCTTAAGGTCAGCAAATTGCTTTACGTACATTATCTCATTTGATCCTCGATAACAACCCTACCATTGGTAAGCATGTTGGGCATTATTATTATTATTGCTATTAATTATTATTATTCCCATTTTACAGTCTGAGAAAGGTTTAGTAACTTAACACAGCTAGTTAATGGTCCAAGACAGGATTGAACCCAGGTTTTCCTGGTTCTAACTCCAGCACTCTGCTCCTCCATGGTACACATGAGGGACATGAGGATCAGAGACATTAAATGTCTTGTCCATGGTCACATGGATGACACAAGGCAGAGGTGGGATTTGAACCCAGGTCCCGCCTATAAATAGAACTCCATCTGTTAACTTGGCCTTTGCACAGGCTGTCCTCCATGTTTGGAGCATTCTCCCTCCTTCCCTACCTGTCCTGTCCTGATCTGTTGATCTCTAATCTCCCATCTCCAATTGCCTTTCAGCCACCTCAAAGTAGATGTCCAGTAGACATCTTAAACTCAGTGTCTTCCCCCTAAACCCTCTCCCCTCGTCCCTTCCCTGTTACTGTAGAAGGCAATGCAATCCACCCAGTCCTCAGGCTCATGGCCTAGGACTTATCCTGGATTCCTCACTTTCACCCCCCACATCCAAGCCATTGCCAAGATCTGTGGCTTTCACGTTTGCAATGTCTCTCCAACATGCCCCCTTCTCTCCTCTGATACTGCCACCCCTCTGGTACAGTCCCTCATCACCTCCCATCTGGACAATTGCAGTAGCCTGCTGGAGGGTCTGCCTGCCTCAAGTCTAACCTACTTCAGTCCAAGTGTCTGAGGCTGGATTTGAACTCAGGTCCTCCTGACTCCAAGGCCAGAGCTTTATTCACTGTGCCACCTAGCTGCCCCAGAAGTCAATTCTTCTTTCTGGGTCTCAGTTTCTCCATCTGTATTATGAGAGGGTTGGTCTATTCCCTTCCAGCTCTGACTTTCTATGATTCTATAAGGACACACAGCAACTCCCTAAATGCCAATGTTGTTTTTGTTCAGTTGTTTCAGTTGTGTCCCACTCTTTGTGACCCCATTTGGGGTTTTTCTTGGCAATGATACTGGAGTGATTTGCCATTTCCTTCTCCAGCTCATTTGACAGATGAGGAAACTGAGGCAAACAGAATTAAGTGACTTTCCCAGGGTCACACAACTAGTAAGTGTCTGAGGCCAGATTTGAACTCGGGAAGATGAGTCTTTCTGACTCCATGCCAGGCTCACCACCCACTTCAACACCTAGCTGCCCCCTAAATGCCAACAAATATTACTAATTAGAGGTTTTGGTGGGACTGCACTAGTGAATGGAGGCTAATTTGAAATTAAATTTAACCTGCAAGAGCCCTGTAAAACAGTTTGCTCTCTTCTCGAAAGCTTAAATTTTCCCTTCATCCAGCTTGCTTTTGCTTTTTGTTTTAGACAGTTAATCAGCCAGCATGTGCAGAGTGCCTACTGAGATTCCTTCCCACTCAGAGATTCCACACTCTTTATTATAAGGGTTTCCTTTTTCTTTTCATTTGGGGTGGGGAAGTGATAAAGGAGAAAAAGTACATTTTCTTAATAAAAATTAATTTTTTAATTGATTTAATTTTTTAAAAAAGATTATGCTAGCTAGGCTAAGTAGCTACTGGGGGAAGGGAAAGGCGATGAAAGAAGGCCCTGACCTTACAGACTTTACAATGAAGGGGAAGAGACAGGACACAAAAGTTAAAAAAGATAAGCAGTGATGTAAGAAAATATTGCCATGACCTCCCATCTCATAAGAAGTCCCCAAACTTGAAACTCAGTTCTTTTTCCTATAAGGGCCTTAGAGTTCAGTAGAGGGAGAGACCCTTGATGACCCAGCCTAGACCAAGGTGAATGATCCCAAATCCCAAATGAGTGGATCCCCAAATAAAAGAAATTTAACTGGGTGAGGAGGGGGGTTGAGGGGGAGGGTGTTACCTGCCACCAGCATCAGGAGCAGCAGGGCCATCGGCTTCAGGAGGCCAAGTCTGTTCCAGAGAAGGAGCTTCACCTCAATTCGTGCTGTGATGGATTCTCTCCCCATCCCCCCAACCTTGTGTCTTTCTCATGCCCCTCCCTCTCTATGCAGGAACATCTTCATTTCCTTTGCCTCTGAAGCCAGCCTCTCACCCTGAGTGAGACGTGCAGGCTCAAATGAAAATCTACTGCTTAATGGGACCTATGGGAGAGCTGCCTCCAGGCTGCTCAGATGGCGGGCCGTAGAACTTAGAAAGGCTCTAGGAGCCTTGGTTTCTTCCTCTGTAAAATGAGGGCATTAGACTGGATGGTTTTCTACTTCTCTTCCCACTCTCATCCTGAAAACAAGTCTGGCCTAGGAAGGCAGTGTCTGGGAATGAGAAATAATCTAAATCGTATCTCTCCATATGCTTCTTCTGCCTATTAATCTGTGGGACATGTAAGTGAGTTTGGCGATTGACAGGAGCTCAGGACAAAAGAAGTGTCAGGAACAGAAGAAAATTCACTTTATACAATTCCATGAAAGCACACCTCATTCCTTTCTCCTTTTGTACTGCAGCAATAATCCTGGATGGGATGACAATTGAAAAAGCCCTGGGTTGGAGATTGAGTCAGAGGGCTCAGCAAGTCACTTTATTTTTTTTAACTTTTTGTTTTTTGGGCACTTGGGGTTAAATGACTTACCCAAGGTCACACAGCTAGTGTCAAGTGTTTGGTGTGAGGCTGGATTTGAACTCAGGTCCTCCTGACTTCAGGGCCAATGCTTTATCCACCACGCCACCTAACTGCCCCTTGAGTCACTTTACTTTAAATCAAGTATTAGATTTAATAGGCATCACATAGCTAAACTGACAGTAATCTTGGAAAGAAGATCAAATGGAAATTAAAAAACAGGACATATGAATTTGCACATGGACCAGCTCCCTGTACCACCAATCCCTCTACCCTCTTAAACTGGTTGGTTTGACCCCAGGGTATAACTGGGAGTGTTTCCAGTCATAGAGAGCTAGAATTATAGATTTGGAAGGGACCTTAGAAATTATACAGTCCAGTCCTTCCCATTTTATAGATGAGTGAACTGAAGCCCAAAGAAGGGCTGTAGTTTGCTTGAGAGCCGAGTTTGGACCACAAATTCAGTTTGATTCGACAAATATTACTTTAGTGGTTACTTTGTACAAGACATAGGCACCAAAGACAAGCTATTCTGACTCTTCAGGCCCAGGGGTGTGCTGGAGCCAGCTCCTACTGGCTGGAGAGAGCTGACTATTGAATTTCCAGCATGAGCAGTTATACCTCAGCAAAGAGCGAACCCTACAAATCAGGGCTAGATATATTGTTCTGTCAATTGTCTAGGTTTAAGAAAGGGATAGAGACACACACAGATAAATAAATGCAAAGTACACATGCCCAAAGTGATCTGAAGAGGGAAGGAGGGAAACAAATAAAGAGATGAGGAAAGGCCTCTTTGAGGCATTCATCCTTGATCTGTGCTTGAAAGGAAGCTGACGTTCTAAAGGGGCAATGATAAGGACAAAGGGAATTCTACACCTGTGGAAGGCATGGAAGTGGGAAGTAATGCTATATACAGGGAACTAGCAGGCCAATGTTATTGGAACAGAAAGTTTGTGAAGTGGAGTGGAGTGAAGTAAGACTGGAGAGGTCTTAGAAATTATTTGTTCTGGCTTTCAATCCAGTGCTCTTAACGTACATGTATTGTATGTGTATATATGTGCGCATATACATAAATGTATGTACGTATAGGCAATACAGGCATATATTAAATTTAATGTGTACATGCATGTCTATATGTGTATACGTATGTGTATACACACATGTTCACTTAAAATAATTTATGTATGTTGTATATGTGCATATGTTATATATGTATACATATATGAAAATTAATAAAAGTTTGGAATGCACTCAAATTTGGGGATCAGGGAAGGATTCAGGTAGAAGGTGGAGCTTGAGCTGAATCTTGAAGGAAGCCAGGGATTCTAAGAGGCAGAGACGAGGAGGGGATGCCTTCTAGGAATGAAGTAGAGCCAGTACAAAGATATATTGAGATGGAGCGTCTGAAACAAAAAGTAGGCTAGTAGGTCTACAACAGTGTGTTGTTGTTGTTGAGTTGTTTTAGTCCTGCCCAACTCTTCATGATCCCATTTGGGGTTTTCTTGGCAAAGATCCTGGAGTGGTTTGCCATTTCCTTCTCTAGCTCATTTTACAGATGAGGAAACTGAGGCAAACAGGGTAAAGTGACTTGCCCAGGGTCACACAGCTAGTAAGTGTCTGAGGTCATTTTTGAACTCAGGAAGACTCATCTTCGTGGCTTCAGGCCCAGCATTGTGCCACCTAGGTACCCACAGTAGTGTGTGTGCAAGAAGAAAGGTAGGAAGCAGAATTTACAGTTGATCCTAAAGGCATTAAGGAGTTTACTAAGGAGGGGGGGTGACATGATCAGACCCGCTTTTAGGAAAATCTCTTTGGTGGCTAGGTGAAAGATGGATTGGAGTGGGGAGGGGGGAGAGAGGTTTGAGATGGGAAAAGCGATTAGGAGGCTATCGCAATAATCTCACCAGAGAGTGAGGGACAGATGTGGAAATAGAAGTGACACGATTTGACAATTGATTGGCAATGTGGGGTGAGAGAATGAAAAGCTAAGGATGAGAGTGACATTGTGAGCCTGCGGGACCAGAAATATGGTAGTGCTCTTGATAATAAATGGGCAGTTTGGAAAGGGTGGGGGCGCAGAGAAAAATAACGAGTTCTTTTTCAGACATCTTGCATTCAAGATGCCTACAGCCATATTCAGATGTTGAGATGTCCAACAGGCATGAGATTCAAAATGAGCTCAAGAGAGAAATGACAAGTGGCTCCAAAGATGTAATAGTCATCTGCAGGGAGATAAGAACTAGACCCACTCCAGAGGAGGCCACCCCCTCCACCAATGCAGATAGGTGAGGTCATTGTTTGGAGTGCTGAGAACTCGTGACTCCGAGCCCAGAGTCACAGAGCCAGGACGTGTCAGAGGCAGGACATGCAAGATTAGTCACATGCAAAAAATGAACATAATTATAGATTATCTAACACACATGCATAGGTTCTGTGGCATGTTGTTTGTTGGTTGATAATAACTCCTGATAGGGATGTTTTAAGAATCGGTTAAGATAATAATAACAATGTTGTTGTTGAGTTGTTTCAGTCATGTCTGACTTTCATGACCTCATATGGGGTTTTTTTTGGGCAAAGATACTAGAGTGGTTTGCCTTTTCTTTCTCCAGCTCATTTCAAAGATGAGGAAACTGAGGCAAAGAGGGTTAAGTGACTTGCTCAGGGTCACATAACTAGTAAGTGTCTGAGACTGGATTTGAACTCAGATCCTTCTAATTCCAAACCCAGTGCTCCATGCACTGTGCCACCTAGCTGCCCCAAGATAATAATAATAGCTAACATTTATATAGTGCTTACTATGTGCTAGGCACTATGCTAAACACTCTAGAATTATTATTACATTTGATCCTCATAACAACCTGGGAGGTAGGTGCTACTATTAGTCCCATTTTACAGGTGAGAAAACAGACAAGCAGAGGTTAAGTGACTTGTTGAGGGTTAGGCAGCTAGTAAGTGTCTGAGGCTGAATTATAAACTTAAGTCTCCCTGATTCCAGGCTCCGTGCTCAATCCACTGCACCACCCAGCTGCCTTAGCTTAAGACATGTATCGTAAGCATATGGCAAACTTACAAATGCTATATAAATGTCAGCCATTATTACAAAGCATATAATATCATTTGACAACACAAATTGTTTTTTTTTCATTGCACACAATTTATTCTCAGTCTCGTTCACTTTGTCCAAGATTCATAATCAGTAAAATGAAGCCCAAACTATAGCATAAAATAGAATGGGAACCAAGGAAGAATTTTCTGTCTACTGTGGTTCTTTAGCATTTATCATGGTCCTTTATGTCACACAAAATGTTTTCCGTTTTTGTCATTCTTCAAGAGTCCATGCAATATCAGTCACATTGATCTCTCTCTTTGCATGTTCTTGCTAACTCCCCAGTCCAGTCCTATACTAAGGCCTGCCTGTATTATTGCAATTATCTATTAGCTCTCTCTCTGCTTCTAACCACTCCTTGATGCAGTCCATCCTACGTACCTTGGCCCGATTCATCTTCATACAGCAGGGCTTTGATCCTGTCATTCCCTGATTAAAATCCCACCATGGCTCGCCATTGCCTACTGAATAAATTCTAACCTCATAGAACTTCTCCAGTGTGGCCCCCAAACAATCTGCTTTCTCTTCTACTGTGTCTCCATCCAAACGGGTCTATGTACTATTCCACATATGAGATTTGCACTTTGCCACCTTCACACTTTTACTAAATCCATTCCCTGCTTGAGATAGCCTCTCCCCTAACATCTCTGCCCCTTGAAAACCCTCCCAACATTTAAGGTTCAGCTGAAATGCCAGTGACGTCTTCCATGACGTCTTCCCTTTTCACTTCAGTTCAAAGTGAACTTGACCTCTTGCAACTTGTTAACACAAATACTTTTCACTCTGAGTTTGTTTTAGTAATTTGTATACTCTCTAGTCCCTCTGAGCCAGCAGGAGCAAATTGTGGCTTCTGTCCTTGCGCTTAAACACACACACACACACACACACACACACACACACACACACACAGGCACATAGTCCAATACACACACACTCAGGACTAGCCACAGTCCTCTGCTGTGTTTCTTAAGTGCTTACAAAATATTTCCCAAACAGCAACCCAGAGAATTAGGCTACCTTAGAATTATTAAGTCCATTTTGCAGAAGAAGAGACTATAGATTCCCATAGTACCAGAGATGAGACGGAGACACAGGTCTCCTGAATCCTCATCCTGCCCTCTTTCCCCTCCAATAGAAGAGGGTCACAAAATTGTGTGGACACGAACACACAAGAGACACACAATGCATACAGATGCATGCAGATGGACAGAGCCACTCATCATACACATAGATGCATATTCAAGGTCTCATACTGTGTG